CAGCGGTTTCCTTCCCCTCTTCTCCATTTAGCTTTAGCTTGCCTTAGGCTCCTTGGGGAAGGGGATTTTCGCGGAGAGCTGTTTTTCCTTTTTTCTAGCTGAAATTGGATCTCCTTTTAATTCGATCGCTGGGATCAGTGCAGCACGCAGACGGGCTATCGGCTCGACCAGCTGGGCTGCGGGCTCAGAAAAGCCCCTGGCAACCGTCCCATTTTTGTCATGTTCATTGCGGCTGCCATTTTAAAAGCCGCGTGGAGAGCCGTTTTTCGTCAAAAATCCCTTATTGGCTTAATTTCCTCCTCAAACACCCAGCGGACCGATTTGCTGCCCTTACCCAGGACCTAACTGGCCAAAGGGGACCCTTGTGACTCCTGGTTCTCTGGATCGGCGTCCACTCTCCCCAGGCGATTTTATTCAGCGGCCGCCATTTTAGGCGCCGCTAAAGTCAATTTGAATCCGCCAAGAGAGACACGGCCAGGATCAAAGCTCATAACAGGGTTGCCTCAAGGGCACAGACTTCAGGAGAAGGGGCGCAGTAAGCGGGGGGGTATTTCTCTTCCCCTGCGACTGTCTTTCCGCAGAACTCATCCCAGCCCCTACATAGGAAATTGGGACCTGAGGCCTTTTTCTGCATTAACAGTCCTCAGCCTGCGCAGTACTCACAGACTGTTGAGATCAGGCCTCCATATATACAAGGATATTCAATATCCTCAATTTCTGTACAAAGAAAGCCCTTCACAGTGGATAGTCACAACAGCCCAGGCCTCAACAGGGTGCCTTCCTAATTATCGCAACATCAAATTGTGCTGGCCGTGCTCTTGGCCTTGCTGCCACCACCTAGGCCTAGTGTGCCGGCCGTTATCACTGAGGTGATCTTGGTGCCACTAAGTGAGTTACGTGTGTGCTGGCTGTTACCACCTGCTGATTTTGCCGCCACAGTAAGCCTTGACCAGTGCACTGAAGGTGTGTTATCTGGTATTACAGCCATCAGGAGCATTGTAGGTGTGCGAGAGTCCATTAAGTTGGTCCTGCAGCCACCATTTCCTAGAGTACTCGCTGGTTCCTGCGCGTTGACACACAGTCACAAATCAGTGCTCTGTTCCTATACCTTAAGATCCCTCTCAGAACACCACTGAGATATCTCCATTGCGATGGCAGACAATGCGGCACCTCAGACCGCGCACGATGCTCCCGGCACTCCCGTCCGAAAGAAGTGCAAGTCCTCCAAACTGGAGGCTGCGGGAAAGCTTAAGGCCAAGGCCATTTCAGGCAAGAGGCCTTCCAAAGCGGCTGAGAAGGAAGCCAGCAGGAGGCACCAGGCTTTAGAAAAGCAGTTTTCCAAAGCTCAGAAGCAGAACACAAGTGGAACAGACCATGCCCCCCCGATTCCAGCCGAGGGTTCACTTTTTGGCCCACAGCTCGCCCCCGCCAGTTCACTTGTCTAACAGGTCTGGTCTCCGGAAGGGGACGCTGGACAGGAGGAGATGTTACCCCTCAGCCAGGGACCACATCCTCTATGGGTGCCTCCTTCACCCAGAGTTCAGTTGGGACCAGAAGCTACATTCACGCCCACAGCAGCTGGGCTTCAACCCATTGAACCTCAAGGGGCGTGGCCAGAACAATTTCAGGCACTAATTGCCCATGCGTTTGCCCAGGGTTTGGCCTCATTCCACCAGAGGTCCAGACCCGAATCTGTGTCACCAATGACCCCATCTTACTTCCAGGCGGAAGCCCTGGAATATCCGGGTTCTGTCTCTTCCTACCGGTCCTCCCAACACAGGGAGTCATGCTCCGAGGAATATGAGCCAAGGGGCATACAGTTATCGGAGGATGAGGAATCATCTCCGGACAATTCCCCTTTTGTAGGCCTATTTGACCCAGCGTTATTCAAATCACTTCTCCTCAAGGCAAGTACCTCTGCCAAGATCGGTCCTGATCAGGAGCCTCAACCAGGTCCATCCACGAGCCAAGAGACAAATCTGCTGTTCTCCGAACCTATTGTTACACAAAGGCATATCCCCTGTCCTTTCTTCTTTCTTAATACTATTCAAAAGCAAGGGGGAACACCTGGCACCCTCCCCATACCGGGGGGAACAGACAAGAGGCTATTCAATGTCGCCCCTGCCTTGTCAGAACTACTGGAGGTCCTGGTCATTGATGAACCTCTAACACCGCTCTTTTCCTCTTCCACGTTATCAGGGGACATGGCTGAAACATTGAAGGCGGAGGACAGAAAATCTGAGTTTTCTTTTCGTAGGATTCACCAGGCCTCGGCATGGTCGGTAAAGGCGGCTACATCCACCTCCTTCTTCGCCAGAACCTCTCTTATCTGGCTTTGAGAGCTTCAGGCCATGGTTCCTCCGGAGCAGGTACGCGCACACCAAAACCTGGGTAAGACGGGAAGACAGAAGGTCTAACCCTTACTCCCGCAGGCAGCTCTTTCGATCAGGGTCAGGATTGGAGTGGGCTCAGTCTTCCTGCTCCTTTCCTCCCAGACCTGATCGCCAATCAAAAAGTGCCGCCCCTAAGTCCAGACAACAATTCCAGGCCAAGTGGCCCTTTCGGGGCACGGGAGGCCGTCCCTTCAGAAGAACCAAGTGACTTCAGGGAGGCCTCCCCCATAGGTGGCAGATTGACTCTCTTTGTTCACAAATGGGAGACCACCACCACAGACACCTGGGTGCTCAACACCATCAGGTGCGGCCTGTCCCTGGAATTTTTATCCAACCCTCCAGAACGTTTCCTTACTTGCTCAACTCCAAAAAAATCCGATCAAGATGAGCCTCATGAACGAGGCCATTCGACACCTCTTGGAGATAAGGGCCATAGAACCAGTACCGGCTGGACAACTGGAAAGGGGTTTCTACTCCATCTTCGTGGTTCCAAAGGCCTCGGGAGGATGGAGGGCAATACTCAACCTAAAGGGGCTGAATTCTCATCTTGTCTACAAAAAATTCAAGATGCAAACATTCCAGTCTATTCTGGCCAGCATCAGAAGGGACGACTTCCTGACATCTATTGACCTCACGGAAGCATACCTGCATATCCCCATCCTTCCCAGCCATCGGAAGTTCCTCAGGTTCTGTTACACAAACCACCATTATCAATACAGAGCCCTACCGTTTGGTCTCTCGTCTGCTCCAAGAGTATTTACAAAGATCTTGGCAGCACTGGCCGCTCATTTGAGGCTAGTCCCGGTATGCATCCAATGTTACCTGGACGACATCCTCATCCAGTCCCCCTCGATTCAGGTGGCTCAGTCGGACCTGGCCTTGTCTATCAGGACACTCCAAGATCACGGGTTCTCGGTGAATTTCCAGAAGAGCCAGATAGATCCCTCAACTCGCCTCCTCCACCTAGGCGCGATCATAGATACAAAACAATGCAAAGTCTTTCTATCGTGGGAGCACCAGGACAGTATCCGAACCCTGGTCCGCCGGGTCCAAAGGGAGCGTGTAGTTACACTGGCCACCCTTTCCCAATTGTTAGGGAAGATGGTTTCTTGCATGGCGATAGTGCCATGGGCCAGACTATACTCCAGGAACCTGCAATAGTTTTTGCTCGCGTTTCAGAGACTGGGCACCAGCTCCTCCAACCAGAGGGTAAGGGTCCCGTTTCAAACCCTAAAATCCCTCCAATGGTGGACCTCCCCAGTGGTAGCCAGAGGCTCATTGTTCAAGGAGCCAGTCCGGCTTACCCTGACTATGGACGTCAGTCTGTTTGGCTGGGGAGCTCACACACGGTCTCAGTTGGCTCAGGGCCGGTGGTCCCGGTCAGACCTGAAGCACAACATAAACTGGTTGGAGCTCAGAGCCATGCATCTGGCCATATGCCACTTCAACCACAAAGTGGCAGGACAGCATGTCCTAGTCCTCACGGACAATGTGGCAGCGAAAGCCCATATGAACCGGCAAGGGCGTACCCGATCCATGTCCCTCATGGCCGAGGCCCAGTTGGGCTCTTGGGCAGAGACCAACCTCTCCTCCCTCAGGGCAGAGCACATCTTGGGACAGGCAAATCAGCAGGCGGACTTCTTAAGCAGGTCGACAGTGGATCACTCTGAATGGCGACTGCATCCCGATCTCTTCACGGAGATATCGGAGAGGTTCGGCCACCCAGTACTGGACTTGTTCGCCTCTCCAGTGAATCCCCAGCTTCCGAGATTCTTTTCCTGGTTCCCATCTCCAGGGGCAGAGAAGGCGGACACCCTCCGCAGCCCATGGCCTGAGGACCTGCTATATGCCTTTCCTCCTCTCCCTCTGATCCCGGCAGTCATCTGGAAGATACTGCAGGAACGAGCAGAGGTGATATTGGTTGCTCCACACTGGCCAAGATGGCCGTGGTTTGCTGACCTCGTGGGCCTTTCCATCTCTCCTCCATGGAGGATTCCTCCAGGTCGCATTGCACTCAGTCAGGGGACTCTGCAACATCCAGAACCCCAGTGGCTCCAATTAACTGCCTGGCACTTGAACGGCGGCTCCAAACCCGGGAGTCCTATTCGACGGGTGTAATCGCCATGATTCAGGCATCCACGCGTCGCGCAACGAACAGGATTTACGACTCCACATGGAGGAACTTTTGTCGCTTGTGCGCCAAGAACCAACTCAATCTCTCGGCCATTACCATCCTGAGAATCCTGGAATACTTATTGGAGGGGCTCAACAAGGGCTTGGTGCCCAATACTATCCGCAGGCAGGTGGCTCTATCCACGGTGCTTGCATGTGACAATTCAACACCATTGGCTCAGGACGCCATGGTGCGCTCTTTCATCAAGGGAGCGACTAACCACACCGCCTGTGGTTCATCGATATCCCTCTTGGGAACTACCGCGGGTCTTACAGGCCCTTACCTCACCACCATTTGAGCCCATCAAGACCTGTACTCTGCGGCTCTTAACCATGAAGGTAGCCTTCCTGATAGCCGTCACGTTGGTTAGACACAACTCGGAACTGGCAGCTCTCTCTGTCAGAGAGGATCTATGCGTCTTTCATAATGACAGGATGGTCCTTCGATTGGATCCGTCATTTATTCCTAAAGTGAATACCTTGTTCCACAGGATGCAGGAGGTGATCCTGCCAGATTTTTGTCCTCGTCCATCTCATGATTTAGAACGCCAATGGCACACCTTGGACGTTCGTAGGGCATTACGCCATTACATCAAGTGGACTTCAGTCTTTCGCAAGTCGGAAGCACTCTTTATCTCCTTTCAACCCTCTTCCATGGGGCAGAAGGTTTCTTTATCAACTATAGGCAGGTGGATCAAAGCTTGTATTGCAAGAGCGTACCAGTCACATTCCCTGTCAGTTCCAAGCCATATCACTGCTCACTCCACCCGCAGCGCTGCAACATCCATTGGGGATGTCTGTAGGGCGACGACTTGGTCCTCGCCTTCCCCGTTTGTGAGGCATTACAAGCTGGATAGGTTTGCCTCCGCAGACGCCTCATTTGGCCGGAGGGTGCTCTAGCAAGTAGTGTCATCAAGTGGGACACAGGCCCAGACTGATTCCCTCCCATAGGGACAGGGCAGCTTTGATATGTCCCATTCGTGGATTCTCCATCTTCATGCTGGAGAAGGGGCATTGTCTTACCTGAAAGCCTTTTCTCAGCATGATGATGGAGAATCCACACCCGCCCCTTTAGTGTCCGTCAGGTCCTGTGTCAGGGGTAGGAGAGCCAACATGTCGGACTGTTGTCAATAGCTTCACCTTCCTCTTGATTGGGTGGTACTCTAGCCCAGGAGGAGGTGTGGCCAGTTTGACAGACTTAGTCTAATTGGGCAGGAAGACAGAGTAAACCCATTCGTGGATTCTCCATCATCATGCTGAGAAAAGGCGTTCAAGTAAGACAACGCCCCTTCTGCTTGAGAATATCACAAGGTTCATTTATCTATGAATTTCTTAAGTCTTCCCCTTCCTGTCAACATTTACTCTTTATGAATTTGATTAATAATTAGATTTTCATTCATTCTGTTGCTCTAACTGAATCACATCAATATTGTAATGTATTAGTTGCTCGTTTACCTATTCAATTACATTCATTCATTACCTCTTCCATTTTCATTCTCTTTGTTTTCTGACACACAAGGCATTTCATTTATACTCTAATGTAACTAAACTGTTCAAATGTGTATTATTTTTATGACTTTCTTGGCGATTTTTGAAAAGTTTAAAATTTTTCAGCCTATAACAACAATCATTTAGGATTAATATTCCATTTCCTCCATATTATCTATTTTTTACAAAATGAATAGTCACTCATTTTCTGTGGTTGAGGTAGACCTAGGCAACAGTTTTGCATATATTTATAAATGTTTTTCTTTTGCAGAGTTTGTAATTAAAAAGATTACACTTATTATCTAGGAGAGGTGTGGCACCAGTTTCTTATGTTCAGCACCAGTCTCAAATTCCTAAGCTTATATGAGTGATGATCTTCATTTTCAAAGTTATAATGCTATTTTTTAGGTGTGCAGGAAATAAAAAAATGTGTTTTATTTCTAAACTGAAACAAGCCATCTCATTTTAGAATTTATGCTTAACTGGTTTGGATAAGCTGCAGTTCAGCCATGACAGCATGTCGAATGTTTCAGTTCTGGACTTTGGCCAAAAGAAAGCAAACTTGGAGAGATTTTTTACAGAAGTAGGGCAAAACTGGTACATGTCGCTCCCTTTAGCCTCACCATGTTGCCTATGAGCCTGTTTATTATGATCTTAACTGCTGCCAAAGTGAATCCGACCAGTTTGTCTACCCTCTGATACTCCAATACTAACCCTTTTTTCTAGCCGTGGCCACCATGACCAGTACCCTGACTAATGCCCATGTGTTTTTTTTCTGTAATGGACTAACCACACCTAGTGTGATATGACCTATCATCTCCTCCCAAACCCTCTAGTGCTCTCTCTTCTCCAGTCACGATGACCGTAGCATCCACCAATGGGTTATCATAGCCTTCCTGCTCAGTTGAGACTAAGCAAAACTTTACCCACGCCTCCTCTGGGCGGTTCCTCCCCAGTTCTTGCTTAGTCTCAGCTCAGATTTTCAGAGGCAATGGATGTATTTTATGCTGGCTTTATATCTTTAGCACAATTTTTCCTGTCCTTGGAACTACTTAGTACAGTACAGTGGTATTGTATGGAAATAGAAAGAAAGGCAACAATTGAAGTTTCTAAAGCAGGCGAGAAAGTATAAAAGATGTGTGTTGCACAGATTTTTTGAGATTTTTAAAAATATTCATTTAGCATACACAATTATCTTTTTTTTTATTAAAGTTTTTTATTTATAATACAATTAAAACAAAAATGGACATACGTGGCATTCCAGAGTAAATATTCCTAACAGTTTGTTTCTCATGCTACAAAAACTAATACATCATCCTTAACCTCTATATAAGCTTCATTCTTCTACGCAGTACAATTATATATACAATTATATGTACAGTTATATATATATTTCAATCCTATCGTTAGCTTAAGATCCGAGTAGTTCTCCTTAATTCATATGAACCAACGGTAAAATTTGTCCCAGATTTCAAAGTATTCCAGTTCTGTCTTGTCCTTCATAATCATTGTAAGCCTATCCATCTCGGCACATGATAAGATTTTATACAGGATCTCTTCTTCCGTTGGAATTCCTTTATTCCTCCAATTTTGAGCATAAACCAGTCTGGAAGCCGTTAGAATGTGTAGCATCAAATAAAGTATGCCTTTGTCGTACTTCTGCGTGGTTATGCCTAATAGGAAAAATTCTGGTTTTGACTCTACCACTCGCTCTAATATTTCTTCCAGCCATTGTTTAACCTTGCTCCAAAAATCACGAGCTCGCGTGCACTCCCACGACATATGATAGTATGTTCCAATTGTCAGATTACATTTCCAACATTTAGAGGAGACGTTGGAACCCATTTTAGCTAATCTTATGGGTGGGAGGTGCCATCTATAAAATATTTTATAGAGGTTTTTCTTTGTAAGAGGTGGCCATAGCATACACAATTATCAAAGCAGCCTTTAAACTTATGGAAAACAAAAACCATGCAAACAAAAACAAAAGAAATTAGCATCCCCTACAAAAAACTAAGAAAAAGGAGCAAAAAAAATATCAATGTTATATAATTTCAAAAGTCACTGGTAGATGCACTAATATAATAAAACCAGATAAAATATTATTGTGAAATATTACAAAATAACTTCCATAATAACATATATTATTAACATCCCTTGTTAGTAAGAAAATATCACACATTTCTGACAACCATTCCTTAACACACTTTTTCCAATTTCTCAGTATGATCACCCTTGTTTGATACAACCATAATTCCTGATTAGCAGATTCCAAAGCTATGGTATATAATTCAACATCAAATCCAAATCTTTAACATTTAATTAATTTTCCATATATGTTTACATATATTAACATATTATAAGAAGATACAAAATGATCATATGATCATATGGCTCAGTGAACCTGCAAATTTTGTACATTTGCAATATAGAAAATTTCATGCCCATTTTTCAAATACATTCTTTTGAGTAGTCCAAAATGCCCTAAATACAATTTTTTGATAACTCAGTCTTAATTTCGGATCTCTAGAGATAAATATTTTTAATTTAACTTAAAATGTAACTTTTAATATGCTGTCTGTTTATTGTGCAATCATTTTATTTATCATTTTGACTGGGAATGATTTTTGGTCTGGACTTTGACAAAATACTAGTTTAGTACATGAAGCTTCATATTTGTTTCAAAGTTAAGACTCTTTATATTGGAGAACTTAATGAGTTGGATTTGTATTATACTGAAAAACATTGGATTTATTTAATTTAAAAACTAGGCATCATGAGTTTTGTGTGATACTAGATTATGCACAAATGCACACATCTATGCTGGATTAAATAATGTTGGGAACAATAAGAAAAATTGCTTCCTATTAGGCTCCCGATTTTAAGCCAAAGTTTCTCTTGAAATGTCAAGGGAGAAAGAACATGCAGAGAGTTTCCAACTCTCTGCATGTTAAGGAGGAATGCAGTCTTTTCTCCTTTCAGCAGTGAGTGGGAAAAATCATACATGGGAAAAATTATTAGCACTCAGCACTCAGAAACATCAAACATGTAGTGATTATTTCTGATGAGATGATAGTGATAAGGCATGGATACTGTATGGAGAGGAAATTCTAGAAGAAGCAGAAAAAGCGGGATCCAGGTCAGTGAAGAAGTGACACATAAATATTCGTTGATTTGTTTTGGGGGAGAGGAATTCTAGTGCTTGAATCTTATTTAGAATTTATGCTTAGTCTTTCAGAAAATAATGAAATACATTTAGCAAGCTACTAGAAGTAATGCCCCCTTATTATGTATTAGCACTGAGGAATAAATGGCACTCAGTACTTCTATTCTTATGCAAACAACATTGGTGATATTCTGAAACAAATTTCTGGACAATGTACAATCCACATTATGCTTCTTTAACTGTGAATTATTTTAATGAGTGCTGGTTGAATTACATTTTACTTTTTAATATTTGCATTAATTTTTAATTGTGTATTTATTTTTAATATGAGTATTCACATTATATGGCTTTTACATATTTTTGTTATCTAATAAAACACAAACTAGTGCTGTAAGCTGATGCAAATTGTTATTCCATTTTTAACCTAACAACTGTCTGCCTGTTATACAATTTTCTTTAAAAAAATAATCTAGAAAAAAAATCTTAATTAGCTTCTTTAGAAGTTTTTTGGAAAAATTAAACATTGCCTTCACTTGTCTGCACATACGAGATTAATACAATATATGTTTTTGGTCAGAATTTAAAGTGTTTAAAAGTGTCAATATTACACTACCCATAAATCTAGGTTTTGAAACTGATCTGGTAGTGGAGAAAACAACCCAGTTTAGCTCAGTTCAGACTAGTTTAGTCTTCTAGGAGGAAGAAGTGGGGGCACTCATTGCTGGAAGTATCATGTTTTCCCGAAAGTAAGACCTACACCGAAAATAAGCCCTAGCTTGATTTCGAGGGTGGGCCTATTATAAGCCCTACCCCAAAAATAAGCCCTAGTTTTTGGGCGAGGGACACACCTAAAAATCAAGCTGGGGTGGGGGTGGAGATGCCCCACAAGCCCCGCACCCACTTACCGTTGCCAAAGGAAATGCCTCTGCAGCTGAGAATGCAGCTCTGGAAGGCCTCTGATGGCAAAATGCAGGCCGGAGCTGCATTCTCAGCTGCAGAGGCATTTCCTTTGGCCACAGAAGAAGTGGGCTGGCT